CCCAAATGTGCTATTACTTAATTCGGGAGTGAGAGAAAAAAGAGGGTGTGTGGGTTTTTTTTTTCTTTTTTCTTTAACTTTTCCATTGCACCATGTGATGGATGACATTTACTATATTTGTGGAAGTAGGAAGGGCTCCATTGTGGGATATGTGAAGTTACTACAATGTAAGATGCAGCATTAGGCTACTCTCAGGTGGGAACATTTTCTAGTCAAAGGCTTTGTGCTATTCTTAGATGTGTCAAATCTAGCCAGGTTATTTTTATAAAGTTTCTAATCTGTTTTGTTTTATGTTTTGAGTTTAGATGTTAGGCTGAAGAACAAACACTGTATACTCCATGAGCCTGTGTTCCAAGGATCCTGTAAAGGAAAAACAAAACAAAACAAAGACCTTCATATATCAGTTAGGAGGCAAAGAGGGCATATAAAAGGGTTAAAAAGAGGTTTGCATTTCTACCACATGCCCTATTGTGTGAACATATGCATGAGTCTATTGAAAGTTTTCAGAAGATGGGCAGGCCACCAGTTGCTGGTCTCCTGCAGTTCCAGTAGACATCTGTTGCCCCAGAGCATTAACCAATCTGTTCAATGGGACATCCTTCCTTTGTTAGATAGAATGATGCAGACAACAGCCCTCGCTGAAATACAATGGTAATTAAATACATAGAAACTACAGCAGTAGGTATTTATTACATATTCATTATTTTATTTGCATTGTTGCAGTATCTTTACTACATTCATTTTTTCTTTCTGATCAGCTATGCACTTCTTTTTGTGACACGTAATTAGAGTCTCAACAAGCTGTGATCTAAATATTTCCCATTTACTGTTTAGAAGAGTTAAAAAATAATATTCCTGTGTGAAAACAAGATGAACTATTTCACTGTAGAATGTATCTTGAGAAACTTTGAAGCTCTTTTGAGAATACACAATTGCTGTTACGTTTTGCCACAAGATATTGTTTCACTCCTTGTTATGTTTTCCTTCATGTACTAAATTTGCATTAAACTATTATGTTCAATTGTAAGTGGAAAATATTCAGAATATATATTAAAAGATTAGATCTATTTGCCCACATCCTCTTTAGCAATAGTAATGTATTGTGTGAAATGGATTAATGAGCTGATTACTATTACTGTTTAGTGGAAAATAGTGGTGTCTTAAGAAATGGAAAAAGAATACAGTTCTACAGTGTTCATCCAGAGTGTTACATTTATACTTAATAAATGTTTTTGACTCAATAATAGAGTATTTTAGGCCTTTAATAGTCAAGTTAGTCGGAGATTATAGTTTAACCTCTTAAAAGTTTATGATGTCATAGGTATGTCTGAATTGGGACTTACCTGCTTTTTTTTATTCGTGAAAAAATTAATAAAATTTACTCACCTGTGAGCATGACCAAAAACTAAAGACTTTTCTTGGCAAGAATTTTTTTTACTTTTTTTTTTTTCTGGCTCTGATTTGAGTCAGAACTTGTAGCAGATATTTTTGTTATCTATATTGCCTTGTATCAGGAAGCATACTTTAAAACCATATGTGCATAATGAGTTCCTTGTAAGTGAAGAATGTAAGGAGTTCTTCATATTGGATGTTACCCTTTAATAAATGTGACCTTCTCTGCTTTTTTGTGAGCTTCATTATCCTATGTATAGGTGCACTAGTGTATATTTGGAATATAAATTCGTTCAAACAGACTGGCTGGCAAATTGCTCTTCATTAACCTGCTCCGGATAAACTAAGCAACTCCAACAGTGTTTAGCAATGACATCTGATTTTCATGTTTCTAATTAATGAATCTCATAAAGGACACGCGGGGATCTCCAAAGTCTAGCATTTCTAAGAGATGCTGCTAACCACAAATATGGTGTGCAAAGTTCACAGATGTTGTAAAAACTTGTCTGAAAATAAATACAGTTTGCATGCAGGGTGTAGGCCAAATTCCAGGAGTAGTGCACTGCTTATGCAAATTATTTCAGAAATATTTAGCTTTGGGTTTGCAGTAGGTGTGTCACTTCTAATTACCCTTTTCAAGCTATAATATGGTGACTATATACTATCAATGGCAGATCTTGAAGCTGCTGCTCTTATTACTATCTACTCTAAATAATCTCTCGTAAACAGTAGAGTTGCGCAAAGGAAGCAATTCTATTGGAGTGAAACGAGACTGACAAGAGACTTAAAGCAATGCTTATTCTGTATACATTCCCCACCAGGAACAAGTATCTCTCATTATGGCCTTTTTCACACATAGCTGATGTACAGATCATCTGAAGTGTTTCGTATAGTGTTGTATCTTCAAGTACACGTATATACTTTTTTTTTTTTTAATGCAATGGAGGATATGATGACTGTAGTTGTTGTAAAGCATTTACAAAACTTCAATAAGGAAACAATTGGAGAATGACTTAAGTATTGTTTGAAGTAACATTAAAAAAACCCGCCTTCTGATCTGTGTGTTTCAAGATTTGTTTATTACGTGCTGTTGATGTCCAACCTCCTCCCCTGCTTCCAAAAAAAAAAAAAAAAAAAAAACACCCACCCTCTCTCTACTTCTAGTTCAATGCTAAAATTACATTTCACAGTACATGGATTTAGGCAGTGACCCATTATCTCAGTGTATTCTGTGGCAGCAGTACATGAACCAGCTCAACTTTTCAGTCCAGCTTAAAAGTGTTGCCTATTAACTATACTTCCTCCAGCCGGAGCAGATTGTGGCTTTCGTGGAACAATGATGTCGGCGCTCCCAGATTGGGTTGGCAGCTGCATTGTTCACCGAGGGGAAACCAGACGCACTTAAGTCCCAGTCTTTTTCATGGGCTTTTGTTCATACCAAATTATTCTTTCACTGTGCTAGTATTCATGATGGTATGTTAAAGGAGTGCATCCTAGCAACTAAAGGCCGGTTGCTAAGCAGCCTTGCTTCCAATAGATTTTTCTTGTTTGAGGGTGTTTTTTTTTTTTTGGTATCAGTTCTGTGAAGGCCACAGTGTTGGTTTTTTTAACTGTATCCTTTTATTGGGATATTGTTGTGATTTGTTACTAGCACTGTTCTATCAAGTGTATTACATTAGTTAATAAATCACCATGTGAAAAGGCTCACTTCCTAAATTCTCGTTGCGTTTAATCTGTGGTGTTACTTGAAATCCTAAGGCTTCAGGTTAAGAGAAAGTAACGTTCGTTGATGGGTTACTTGAGAGAGTGTTATAACCTTGCTCTCTTTAACAAAATCAGATCTAAATAAAACTTTTAAGGTGGCATATTTTCTTTCCTAGCTGTCTTAGCTGGATGAAGGCACTGAAGAGGAAAATGCTGATGATTGATTTTTAAACTGAAAATGGTGAAGTTATCTGGTGCAACAACTTAATTTACCAAAACCCTCCACCACACTGGTGATTTCTTCACCCTCGGTGCCTATAGAATCTGTTTTTACTAAGTCATGGGTTAGAGTTATTACTTGATCTTTCATTTGTCTTGAGACAAGCCTGGATTAATTTCTCTATTTATGCTCTGCAGTTTTTTATCACAGAGGACAGTATACTATATTTTAAGACTACTTGGTCACTCTTAAAAATGCTAACATGTAAGGGGGAGGAGGAGTTAATGTCCTTGCTGACAGAGAAAGATCTTGGCTCTTGATGAAACACATTAGTAACTTACATAGCGTAGATCAAGACATTTTATTTGATATAGAGATTTTTTTTTCTCAGTATAACCTCCTTTATTAATCTTGTCTGTACAGTGTTTGTCAAATTTAAGCAAAGCCCTTTGCATGTATTTCTTACTTTTATATTTTGCCTTGTAAAATGAAAGTGTGAAAGAGTTCTTTATTTTGTAGTCTTCCCTTAATGTAGATTTTTCTTTGCAGTACAATTGTTCAATGGGGTCTACTTTCTTCTATGAGAAATATTTTTTTTTTTTATTGAAGCAGTTGAGACTTTAGCCAAAGATCTCATCTAAAAGATGTAGTAAGTTACCTTTAAACATAAACTGTGGAGGTAAACCTTGTGATGGGTAGCTATTTTCTGTATAATTGCCATTATGCAAAATCCCTCCAGAAAAACTGATGCGGCTGGTGTTAAGAGGTGCAGAAAACTGCAACTTTTCTTCTTCTGTTTTTCCTAGATGACTTCTTCCTATGTATTTAGGTTTTGACCTAGTGAAAGGCTTGTACAAATCTAGTGCAGTAGTTGAAATTAATTTTTAATTTTGTTGCTTTATTGGCTTGATTAATGGCTTGTTGAAATCATTGAAAGACTGCTGTTGGCTGTATTGGACATTAGATCAGTCCAAGCCTCCAAATCCTACATGTGTTAGTAATGCTGCATTCTGAAAGCAGTTAGTTTGTCTTAACTATCCCTTTATAAGGGAATTCAGAAATAGGTTGGTTGTATTCAGTTGAACTGATAATGCATTTTAAGGCCGATCAGCTTTTATTTAATTTTTTTTTGTATCACTAATTCATTTTCTGCATTAGGACAATTTATGTTTGCCTAGCATGCCAGATAATCTAGCGTTATGCTAGTTTCTGTTCATCATAAAAAGTTTTACTAGTACTCTTATTTTATAGCTGTAGTAGTTTTTAGGGTGTTTTTAATTGTTGCAATATTGTCTTAAGTTAGATGGAATATCTCGATGACTTTAAAACTGGACAAGGGTTCTGTCACAGAATTACAGTAAAAAAAAAAAGTTGTAGTATTTGATTTCACACTCTTTTATAAGCCCATTTCATTTCAGAAAATGTTTAAGCAGGAACATTTGATACACCTAGAAAACAGAGAGTTAGCTGTTCATCAGCTTAGCTGTATATATTTCTTATGAAAAGTTTTTTTCCAAAAAAAGTTTTCCATGTTTAAAAAAAATCTTATTTCTCTTCTGGGAGAGAATAAATCCAGACGTTAAGGAAACAGCACTTTTCCTTGGAAATGAGAAAATTTTGAGTTAGCCAAAAACCTAGTTCTGAGGAAACAGCAGGAAAAAAAAAACAAGAAAGACACGTAATCAGCTGCAACGTTTTTGTTCTCTCTTTAGGAACACAGAACACTTTATATTCAGGAATACAAGAAAAACGGCAAAGTGGAGTCAAGTACATGCAGCAGCTTCATGGGCTTGAAGGATCATCTAGGGCATGATTTAGGCCATCTTTATGTGGGGAGCACTGGCACCCAAATAAATGCAATTGTACCTTGGTCAGTGGTGGAGAAGCCAACGATGGATAAAGTTAATTCTAGGAAGGAAGATGCAGACAAGGAGGCATCTGAAGAAACATCTGGAAGCTCCAGCTGTGACTCTGAAGAAAGCACAAATTCTGATAATGAGTCGGAGAGACTGAATAGTACTGCATCAGAATCACAGTTACTGCCTAAGACTCACCGACAACTGTGCCGATCTCCTTGCTTAGAGCCTCATATATTAAAAAGAAATGAGATTTTGCAAGACTTGAGGATAGAAGAAGCTCAGATAGTACCTAAGGAAGTCAGAAAGCCCCCTGATGTGGTGAAAGAATATCAAACCAAACTGGAGTTTGCACTTAAGTTGGGTTACTCTGAAGAACAGGTTCAACTTGTACTAAATAAACTTGGTACTGATGCTTTAATAAACGATATTTTGGGAGAACTTGTCAAACTTGGAAATAAAACTGAGACTGACCAGGCTGTAAGTAATGCTAGCACTAGTGTAATGCGTGAAACGTCTTCCATAGAGTCTCAGAGGTCAGAGTCTCCACTGCAGGAAGATGTGACAGAGGATGGTGACAACCTGAGGCCAATAGTTATTGATGGCAGCAATGTGGCAATGAGGTATGTGACCCTGAAGCTTTTGCTAATATATTTAAATGGAAACAGAATTACCTTGTCTAATTCAAGCACTGATGTTCTGTGTAATTGCTTAAAATTGTATACAGGTTGCTGTATGCGGCAAGCTTCTTCCTCAACCAGACAGTATGCAAATCTTTGCAATCAGGCTAGAAGCCAGTAAGAGTGCAGTGGTTTGTACTCGCTGTTAAAGCAGCCATAGGTTAATTATGTCAATCATCCGATGTTGACAGCTATCAGATCTCCCCTTCCCACTGCCTATCTAGTACGTACTTCTTGTTACGCTTAACAAACCTTTAGTAGGCAGTCTTGCTATGGGCAAATTGCTGTACCTGTTACATATAGTAGGGTAAAGCAGGTGTAAGAATTCTTAAGTTATAAAACAGTAACTGACTTAGAAGATAAGTGTCTTGGTAGGTTTTTCTATGATAAACAATCTGTCTATAAGATTTCAGTGTCGGTTGTCAGATTAGGAGTTAGGTTTTACTGCCATTAATTCCTGAGACTAGTGTACCTTTAGACTTTCACTTACATGCCCAAAGGTAACGCTTATCTGAGCATTCACCCGTTCTGACCAGTCATCTAGGTGTATAGGTGGGGGGGGGGGGGAAGCTCTCATTTCCTCAGTGGTTAAAAATTAAAGCAAGGAAGGGGTAAAGAGATCTTCAGAAATGGTTTTATGGCTAATATGAATGATGAATTGATTAGTGACTAATTGGATGACTCATAAGGATTATTTTATTAGTAGCACCACAGTTTAAAAGGTCCTTTTTAGTCTCCTAATGACTTGACGTGGTTTTTATTAGTTCAGTAATAAAAGTCGGTGCAAGACGTTTCAGGGCTAAAGGCTTCTGGTTTTTTAGCTCGCAATCGTGTCTGTTTCCTTTAAATAGGACTTTTTAAAGTGAGATTTAAATGTAGCTCTTATTCATGGCAACAAGGTGACTTTTTTTAGATTTAAGCAAAACTGAATAGTCCATAAATTATGGATATTGCTTCTTTCCAAATGCAGTATTCCTGTGAGTTCTTTCTACCTGCCATATTGTTCTAATCTTTTTGTCCAGCTTGAGTTGTAAAAGTAGTACATTCTAACTGAGTAAACACTATTCAAGTATTTAACCTAAAAGCCATCCAGAGACTTCTAAAATGGGTTGCAACTGCATTTCACATAATTTTGTATCACTTCTGTAAATGTTCAAAAGGCTTTGGTTTCCTGAAACAGAGCTGCTGGTTTGGAAACTTATAATTTTACTGTCTGTCGGTCTATCATTTCTTAGTGTTTTTTAGCTTCGCTGTTCTGTGGTGGCTTTCAGCTGCTCTGAAATGCCTTGTGGGGCATTATTAGTTAGCACAACTCAGACTTGATGGGTGAACGTAAGTATGACTTTCCCTGTGAGCTGCACCAAACATATTCCAGAAGTAGCTCAGAATTGGCGGCCTTTCCTTAAGGTTTACTCAGTTATTAGCATGATAAATCTTTAGGATATGCACCTTCCTGTGCTTAACTATTTTTGCATCCATCTCTACAAAATGAGCCAAATGTGAACACATGCTCTGTTCTACAGGGCCTTAAAACAAATCTGTTAATTGATTTAATCTTCTGTGTCCAAGAATCAAATCAACAGGTCTACAGTTGGTTTCCACCGCCTTTTAATGGCAGAATCATTGAGGTTGGAAGGGCCCTGTGGAGATCATCTAGTCCAACCTCCATTCTCAGAACAGGGTCAGCTAGAGCAGCTTCCTCAGACCCATGTCCAGTGAGGATTTGAATATTCCAAGGATGGAGACTCCTCAATCTCTGTGGGCAACCTGTTCCAGTATTTGACTGCCCTCACTACGTGGGAACAAAAAAAAAAAAAAAAATTTTTTTCCTCTTCTGTTCAAGTGAAATTTCCTGTATTTCAGCTGGTGCCAGTTGTCTTTTCTCTGTTCACTGGGCACCATGGAGAAGAGTCTGGCTCTGTCTTCTTTACATCCTCCCATCGGGTATTTATACACATTGATAAGATCCCTTGAGCCTTCTCTTCTCCAGGCTAAACAATCCCAGCTCTCTCAGCCTCTCCTCCTATGGCAGATGCTCCAGTCCCTTAATTATCTTTGTGGCCTTTCACTGGACTCGCTCCAGTATATCCTTCTCTCTCTTGTACTGGGGAGTCCAGCACTGGGCACAGGACTCCAGGCATCGCCTCACCAGTGCTGAGTAAATGGAAAGGATCACCTCCCTTGACCTGCTGACAACAGGATACCGTTGGCTTTCTGTGCCACAGAGGCTCTTTGCTGGCTCATGTTCGGTGGTTGTCCACCAGGACCCCCAGGTCCTCTTCTGCAAACCTCTGGCTGGTCAGCCCCAGGGTGTACTGGTGCATGGGGTTATTCCTCCTCAGGTGCAGGACTTGGCATGTCACTGTGAGCTTCACAAGGTTCATGTTGGACAACTTCTCCAGTCTGTCGAGGTCTCTCTGAGCGGCAGCGCAGCATTCTGGTGTATCTGCCAATCTTCCCAATGTTATGTTCTCTGCAAACTTCCTGAGGGTGCTCTCTGCCCTGTTATCAAGGTCACTGATGAAGATGCTAAACAGTGTTGGCCCCAGTATCAACTCCTGGGGCACAGCAGTTGGAGGCCAGTCAATAGGGGACTTCATGGTACTCATCACAGTCCTTTGAGTATGGCAGTTGAATCAGTTTTCAGCCCACCTCACTGTCCACTTACCTAGCCTGTGCTTCAGTTTGTCAGTGAGCATGTTATGGGAGGTGGTGTCAGAAGCTTTGTTAAAGTCGAGGTGAACAATATTCACTGGTCTCCTCATCCACTGAGCCAGTCATATCATCATAGAAGGCTATCAATCACCTTTTTATCCTTCATATATTTGGAAACTGTTTTCAGAAGCATTTGCTCTTTCACTTTCCTAAGGATTGAGGTGAAGCTGACTGGCTGGTAGTTCCCTGGATCTTCCTTCTTGCCCTTCTTGAAGTTAGCAGTGACATTTACTTTCTTCCAGGCCTCAGGAAACCTCTCCTGATCCCCATTACCTTTCAGAGTTCGTTGGAATCGGCCTTGCAATGTCAGCCAGCTCCCTCAGCATTTGTAGTGGATCCTCTCAGGGCCCACAAGCTGGTGGATATCCAGTTGTTTGTGTTCCCTGACCTGCTCCTTCTCCAACAAGGAGAAATCGTCCTTGTTCCAGGCTTTCCTGTGGGTCTCGGAGGCCTGGAATTCCTGCAGGCAAGCCTTACCTGTAAAGACCAAGGCAAAGAAGGCACCGAGTATCCTCCGCCTTTTCTGTGTCCTTTGTCAGCAGGTCCCCCGCCCCGTTCAGCAGCAGGCCCACATTTTCCCTAGTCTTCCTTTTGCAGCTGATGTACTTGTAAAAGCCCTTCTTGGCGCCCTTCGCCTCCTTCCCCTGATTCAACTCCAGGAGAGTTTTGTTTTTTCTAACCCCAAACCTGCACGCTTGGACAGTGTCTGTGTTCCGCCTGGGTCGCCTGTCCCTGCTTCCACCTTGTATATGCTTCCTTGTTATGTTTGAGTTTAGTCAGGAGCTCCTTGGTCAACTGTGCAGGCCTCCTGCCACCTTTGCTTGACTTCCTGTGCATCGGAACAGACCGATCTTGAGCTTGGAGGAGGTGGTCCTTGAAAGTCAACCAGCTCTCCCGAAACCCTCTTCTCTCTAGGACTCTGTCCCATGGGATTCTTCCAAGCAGATCCCTGATCAGGCCAAAGTCTGCTCTCCTGAATTCCAGGGTTGTGATCCTGCTTTTTGCCTTGCTCCTTCCTCACAGGATCCTGAACTCCACCATCTTACGGTCTGTGCAGCCAAAGTTGCCCCCAACCTTCACATCCTCAACTAGATCCTCTTTATTTGGATGAGGTCCACCAAAGCGTCTCCCCTCCTCATTGGGTCCTCCATCACCTGTGTCATGAAGCTGTCACCGGTGGACTCCGGAAGCCTCCTGGATTGCTCGTGCCCTGCTGCGCTGTCCCTCCAGCAGATGTTGGCGTGGTTAAAATCCCCCACGAGGACCAAGGCCTGCCAATGTGAGGTTTCTTCCATTTGTCTGAAGAAGGCCTCACCTACTTCCTCCTGATCAGGTGGTCTGTAGCAAGCACCTGCCACAATGCTGCCCACATTGATCTGCCCTCTAATCCTGACCTACAAGCTCTCAGCTGGCTCATTGCTATCCCTGGGCAGAGCACTATGCATTCCCACTGCTCTCTCACATGCAGGGCAACTCTTCCCTCCATGCCTTCCCAGCCTGTTTTTCCTAAAGTGTCTGTACCGATCCATCACAGCACTCCAGTTACGTGAGGTATCCCACCGTGTTTCTGCGATCCCAGTGAGATCGCAGCCCTGCAGCGACACACAGACGTCCAAGTTCCTCCTGTTTGTTCCCCACGCTGCATGTGTTAGTGTACAGGTACTTTGGAGAGGTACCCAGTCATGCTGGTTTTCCGGTAAAGGCAAGAGAGCTTCCCCCATCATGCTGTCCTCATGGCACTTCCTTATTTATGTGCATAGGCTTGAGGTGGGTACCCTTCAGCATTGTCTTGGTTCATTAAGAGGTGTCTCCTGTCCATGTCACGCAGTACCCCTTGATTACCATCCTGGTCTACTACTTCCTCGCTGTTTTGGGTCACAATCTCCCTGCCCTGTCATTGCCAGTTTAAAGCTCTCCTTCCCAGGTTGACAAGCCTGTTGGCAAAGATGTTTTTGCTCCACTTGGTCAGGCGGATTCTGTCCCCTCATAGCTATCCTTGATCCCTCAAAGAGGGTCTCATAGCTGTAAAAACTGAACCCTTGTTGACACCAGCTGTGCAACCAGTTGTTGACCTGCATGATCCATCCTTTCCTCCTCGGGAAATCAGGTAATATTAAATGGACATTTTAAACAATTAAAAGGGAGGATTTGGGCTTTACGTATAAAAGAACAGTGTTCAAAGCAGCGTGGAATGCCTGAACTGCAGGTGAATTTCTGCATAATCTTGC